GAAATCTAAACCATTTTACGATATTGTAATGAATCACTCACGAGCAGGAGACCAGAGTAGCGTTCGGGAAAAAAAGCCCGTTTATTTGAGCACTCCAAAAACTCTTCTAGCGTAACACACACACTTCATACAGACATACTTGTTTACAGTACCTAGCGGGGACCCCCCTCCCCTCTCTGCTCCACCAATCTCCAGCCCGCACACTGACTGACAGCGTAGCCTGTAAACAGAGCTCAGCTGTTTAATTAGCCTAGCAATATCTCCAGACTATAGTGGCTGCAATGGACGACTTTGAATGCGATTTTGAAGAGTTTCTTGCAGTGTTGTGTGTAACGCGTTAAAAAGTAACGCGTTACAGTAATGTCACTACTTTTATTGGGTAAAAAGTAGTGTAACGCGTTACTCCTGAAAATATGGTAACGGAGTGTAGTTACTTAGTCAGTTGGGCACAACGTTACTTTTCCCGGGGACAGATTTGACGGTGACACTACCTGTCTGCCTCAGCTGTGCACTAGGCAGGAACTGTGACAGTTCCCATGTCAACAGTACAGACAGGAGCGCCAAAATCAAGAATCGTATGAGGAATATGGAAGATACACACGCCTCCTCGGATTATTTTAAGGGAGTTTGTCAACTGAAGACAGGTTAGCTTATTGTCATAAGCTTATTGTCATCAGCTAGCTTAGCTTGTTAGCTTATTGTCATAAGCTAACAATTAGCAATGGAGTGAGGTTTCCTGACCCGTACTTAATGTCGGGTCAGTGGGTCACCGACCCAACGAAATGGCCGAAGCTACAGTGGCCGGACATTTTTTTATATCTTGTGGAGAAACCCAGCGTTTATATGCATGAAAAACTCAAGGCATATAAATTTCTTGATGCGTATAGTTTTGTACTTTGCGGTCATGTCCAAGATATTGAATACTGGGATTTATCTGATGTTTTTTGTGCTCTACGGACCAAAGTACTGCCGAGCCAGCGACAAGGACACAAAACAGTAACGTTAACTAATGTACAAGACCTGGGCGATTCTGAACAAGTCGACCAACTATATACTGACAGCGAACTGCACTTGTATGGCTGGGTAAGTGTTGTTTAATGTAACGTTAACCTCGCTAAGGTAAGTGTGGTCCATTCGCAAACTTTATGACTAAAAAACTTTTCACTACTCTCTATCGACAAACTACTAACACTCCCTGCTGTTTCCTTCTCCTTCCTTCCTTCCTTCCTTTCGCTGTCTTCGTTGGTTTATTTATACACGTGAAACGCGTTCTCTGGATGGCTGGATTGTCTGCTCGGTCTGCCGTACATACATGGCGGCGCCAAATATTACACACTGGCCCTTTAATGAATTTCTTAAGTGGGGGAGGTGCAGTCCCATGGACAATTTTAAAAAACAGCCGTAGATCTCAAAGTTCATCATGTTATGTTTAGCGAGTATGTTACAGTGATGATACATTCGCGTTTTCTTATCAAATGTTTTCAGCGCTCGCTTGTAGAGCGATACAAGTGGCATAAGAGTTGTACGATTTGTTTGGGACCAGCAAGTTATACAATATGAGAAGTAGGACAAAATCATAGCATGCAGAAAGGTCTTAGCTGCCTCATCTGTGAGAGAGTTTCTTATATATCTAAAAGTAACTAGGTTATATTTCAAGGTGTGGCTCATCCTTTTTATGTGTTTTTTAAAACTGAGAGTTAGATCTAATGTTAGGCCCAGATACCTGAACTCATCAACAGTTTTTGTTTTCTCTCCAAACACAGTTCCATCTGGAGGAACCTGACCTGCCCTACCTTTTTGTTTAATCATAAAAAACATGGTGGCTGTTTTCCCTACATTAAGGGTGAGACATGAGTCCTGGAGCCACTTTGCCACTTTCTCCATGACAAGAGATAATTTTTCTGCCACTTGTGCAGCATCCTTCCCATGTGTGTAGATGACTGTGTCATCTTCATACATCCCGATGTTCACATCATCACATGACATTTAGCATGATGACATCATTGTCCTGACTCTCAGTGATTGTATTGGAGATGATAACAGGATGTCTGTTAACTCCATAAATGATAGAAACACAAACTGTAGAAAAAAAGGACTTTCTTCTCAAGAGCAGAGTTAAGAATCACACAAACACTGAACTGCATTACATCTTTTTAATCAAGATGGAAACAAATATAATGAGAGTTTAAACTCTGATGTCCTGCTCCAGTGATTTCTAGCAAATATTACAAACTGATCCCTTAGTGTGCTCTTCTTTGACAGTGTTGCTCCTCCCTCAACCTATTCCTCCTCTTTTATCACTGTATGTTACGAACACCAAAACCACACCTGAATATATTTTACAGTTTCATTTAAAGAGCTGAACCTCTGTAATCCTGCTGGCTTTTCTTTTTACAGGGAGAAAAGGCTGTTATGTGGGTGGTTAGGATCCTTAATGATTCTTCTAGCCTTGTTCTCTCAGTGCCTGCTGTAAATATCTTTTAGGCAGAATAGAGCAGC